TAACTTTTTAGAAAAAAATTAGTGAAATTTTGAAATAATTATAGAATAATTTAGTGGAGTTTGTGGAGTTTTAGTGGAGTATGAAAAGATCTACGGAGATTAGAAATTTTGGATCAATCTTAAATTTTTTTAATCCTTAATCCCTTGATATAGCCTAACACATCTTAATATCTCAAATCCTCTCAAACGCCTCGATAGCTCCTCCATATCAACTCAATCCTATATTTTTCGTAATTCCCCAATTCCTTTATTATCTTGTCCATGTCGTCTTAATTCATCTTAATTCGCGATAACTCCTTAATCCACCATCTCACTCCCTCAATAACTAAAAAACCGATAAACTATTAATCAAATCACTATTCTAATTAAAATAAAGCTTCCGGCAGCAAATCGAAAATTTTTCCAAATTTCAAAATTATTCATCCAAAAATACAATGGCTCTCTTCAGTCAGTGGCCCCTCTAATTGTTGGAGCCATTCAGAGGATTATTGAAAATACAATGGCAGGCCATTCTATTAGAGTAAATACGGTATATTTAATTTGGTTCGATTTCCTGTCAAGGCGTACTTTATGTTTAAGCTACCTGCGTTTCCGGGAAAAATGACTTTAGATATTGTCGAATTTTCCATGCCATCAAAAATTGAGTTCAACGAATTTTTGTCATTAAGTACTATAGGAGAGTCCATCCATGTGAAAGTATCATATTCTGAATATATTTCCTTTTAATTAAATAGCCAATAATTAATTATATAATTTATGTAAATACTGCTAAAATGTATATTTTCCATGCATAAACAAGAGGTAAACGAAGATCAGCAGGCATAATGCTCCAATTAAATTTTCGCCATTCTAGTCCACAAACTGCATTTAATTCTTCCATCTTTTTTATTTAAAATTATTATAGAAAAAATTACTAATTGATAAGTTATTAGTTATAGACTCAATATCTGCTTAACTACCGTAAAACAGTATTAATGTCTCTCACTCAAATAATTACCCCCTATTTTTCCCTACACGGTAAATTTCCTTCTGAATACAGACTCTGAATCTGCGGAACAATTGATAATGTGGAGCCATTGATTTGACCCCCCCCCCCCCGTGGCGCTCTCCCTCCCCATAAAGTTTCCCCGTGCCACCTCCCGTCGGGGACAAACAATAAATTCGATAGCTAAATATTTATATGTAAATTACCTTGTTTTTATCTTCACTAACACCTCCAAGATCGTAGCCAATAATCTTTTGAGAACAACCAAATTGTTTTTTCAGATTATATAAAAGTTTTTTCAATGTATTATAGTATGGGATACTCGAAGCAATAACAAAAGTGAAACCTTTATTTCCTGGCCTTTTCACCTTTTGAAATTTTTTAATATTTATTTTGATGTTAAAGTAATAATTTAATTAAAACTAAGAAATACTGAAAGGCAACCACATTTAATTTCAACTCACTGTATTTCTATCTGATTTAAAAATCTATTCATAATCGAAACAAAGTTTGACGATGATTAAATGATCTATACGGTACACCTCAATTGAGTCCCGAACCCTATAACTTTTGAAGGGATGGTCACTTTTTGTAACTCTTGGTACCATTGGATAGGGCATTAAATAGGCTACAATATACCAAAAAATCAAAATTCCTGGCCAGCTGTTAAAAAAGTTATGATCGATAAAGTGCCGAAAAATCAGATTTTTTTGAAAAAGTTAATTTTTAAATCATAACTTTTTTATCAATTGGTCAAAAATTCTGATTTTTTGATATGTTATTAAGCTTTTGATTTTCTATCCAATGATACTAAGAACATTATAGGGCCGGGACTCAGTTGAGCCGGGACTCAGTTGAACTGCTCCGTGATCTATAAGCAGAAACGATAAAGTAAAAACAACATCCGGTACTTAATCATTCTTCGATATTTTATTAAATAATTTGTTATTTGAAAATATTTGAAGGAATTTGATTTTTTCAAAAAGTAAAGAGATTAGGTGGAGGGATTTGAAGTGATATTGGCGATATCAGAACTCATAGATCCCCCGACATCACATTTAATCCCTCAATATTCCCTCAATTACATCAAAACCGCGCTTGATCCTTCCAAATTGCTAGATCTCCATCGATCACTACCCGACTATGTATACGGTAAAGTATTATGGTAAAAATATTGCTCCTTTGTTTAATAAATGCAGGAGTTTATTATATCAATTTTTAGATAATTTATTAATTTAATTTAAACTAACAGGTATTTCTTGTTTAATTTTGTATTTGTCAGTAAGTTTATATTTATCAATTAATTGTAGATGTTTACAATCAAATCTTTTACCGCTAATCATATTCTTAGTTAATTTGTCGTTTGTTTGAAAAATAAATGAATATGCCATTTCCTCCCCATAACATTTTGAAGGCCATTTTGTATTGTTTCTATAATAATTAGTGTTATTCACGAGACGATATATCGACGATATTTTTCGAGATATCGCGAGATTTTTTTCGAGATTATCGATCTCGATCTCGTCTCGATCAATTTTTGGAAAAATCGAGATTTTTTCGATATCGAGATTTTTCGATAATCTCGATCTCGATCTCGAAAAATCGCGTTTGAATAACACTAATAATAATTAATCAAAAATTTATCAGCGCCTATTCAATAACGACCAGGAATAGCAGCAAATGTAAAAAATCTTTGCCAATCTTAATTTTAAAATCCGAGACTCAACCCGAAACAAAAATCCGTGAGCCTAATTATCTCTTGTCTATTATATAAGCAGGATGTAATAATTAGAGCCAGAATTTTTAGGCAAATGCATGTTTTCCCCCAAATAGGCCTGATGCTGACCAAATCAGGCGTTATTTTTATGATATTAATTACTTCCACTAGTTTTACATTGTAAAATGATGTACCTAAATGCTCAATTGAAATAAAATTTAATTAGTTCTTGAACCAACTTACTTATTTTCAACGGTTTCATTAAATTCTTCTAGTCCTTTTCTTCCAAAAAGTAAATTTGAATTAATTAATTTTTTATTAAGAAGAATTTTGTAATTAACATAATTGTTATTTGGCCACATTTGTAACAAAAAATATAAACAAAAAATAAAAGTTAAAGAAATTAAACATAAAAAGTATTTTGTTGAACAATTATTATTGTTTGTTCTTCCATTTGTAATAATTTTTCCATTTATTAAATTATTTAGTGGAGAATACATACTGTATTTCCTCAAATAGTACGGCCCCCTCAATTTGAACGGCCACCTCTATTAGTACGGCTTTCGATGAGGGTTGATAAACGGCGCCCTCAATTAGTACGGCCCCCTTTATTAGTACGACCACCATTTAATAAATGTACAAAATCTTCACTTTGAATTATATTAACTATCCTCGAAATATAAAGCTAATTTTATGAAATTTTAAAAGTTAGCCTCTGTTTTTTTACCTCTCTGTTTTTGGCCTCTCTGTTTTACTACTAAGCCTTCTTAAATCTCCCTGTAATATTTATTTTAACACCTCATAGCATTCGATTAATACAACAAAACCCCCCGATAATCCTCTAAAAACCTAATTTTTGTTCTTTTTATAATTATATGGCTTTAAATTTTAAGACCTTTGGTAATTTCAGTTAGGATCTAGGCATATTATTAAGGAGAGTTTTCATGTACATACTAGTGTGTGTAATATAAAAAGAAAAAAATTTCAATACACACAAACTTAATTCAAGGTGGCACTACCAAAAAATTATCAGATAAATCCGACGGAGGGTTGAAATATAGTATGGCCCCCTCAATTAGTGTGGCCTCTCAATTAGTACGGCTTTTTAGAAGAGAGTTGGAAAATATTACGGCCGCCTGTACTATTTGAATAAATACGGTAATTTAAATTTTTAGGAAATAAACTTTATTAAAATACAAATTTTCTATAATAAATTAAATAGCTTTACGAGATTGAATTCGGTCAGGAATTCGAATTAAATAAAATTTTAACTCATGTTCGGCTAGCTTATCAATTACAAATTTTTAAATATCGAAAGATCACTTATTCATCTTTTTTCAGGGCAAATGAAAAAATGAAAAGGTTTCGAACTTTTATTTAGCAATGTTTATAAATTTTGGCTTTATTTTTTGTTTAATTTACTCAAAAATCATTTTATCGAATTTTCGAATAACTTTTGATCATAAAAAATAAAAACGTGTAAAGTAAAGAAAAATAATAAACCTAAATTTTATGAAATAAACTTTAATTTTGTACTAAAAATTTTTACAGAGTAAATTTTATCGTTTTAATGTTAAAAATAATAAAATTTGGCTCTCCCAATTTCGAAAATAAATGTATTATATGTATAATAAATGTATTAAAAATTGAATATTTCCAAATTTATAATTAAAGCCTGCCTATGCATGTTTACGGAAAATATCCGGTTGCCTGCGGATACATATATATATCCGGATAGTTACAAATACTCAGAATGTGTTTAGTTTATAAGTTTGTTTTCGGAGCTCTATAAATACCGATTCCCGACCATTCGGGGTAAAACCCTAGTTATTTGTAGTAAATTTATTCATAGTAAATTTATATTGGTTTGCATTTAGAGCTCAAAAAGTTCTAGAGCAAGAAGTCTTTTCCGATTTGGTTAGTAATAGTTGGCTATTAGAAAATTAACACGATAAATAGTTAAACAAATTTTATATCAATTATTAATCAAACGGTTTCTAACAACATTCAACTCCTTTTTTAAAATCCAAATTTTTATCCAAACTTGTGCCTCTTTGTACTTGATGCCGAACTTTTGTTCTAGGATGATCATGATGGAAATGTGGAAGAAAGTTTCTATCTGAAAAATTGGATTATCATTAGTTTTGATTTCTATTTATAAAGGGATGGTCAATGGAAGGGACTTCTTTAAAATAATTTTTACTTTATAATGAAATCCTTTCACATTCCATCTCATATCCTCTCACATCGCATAGAGGATAAAAAACTTAAGTTTTTACTTGAAGAATTTATAAAAAACTATATATGTATTATAAATTGTCTACCATTATCTAAAACATAACGTTGATACTCGCCATTAATAGTAAGAAGAGCATAAAGGCTTTGATCAAATCTATGACATGATGGAATGGAAGAAGCTTTAGGACATCCTAGTTTTGAACCTTCAGGATTAATACATTGTTTAGTTGCTGCACAAAGAAGAGCCCTTTTAAAACATTTATCAGTTTTACTGTGTTTTTTATATTTTTGTGTGTAATCTATCCTCTCATATCTCATAGAATAAAGGGCTTAAACTTTAATTCTTCTATTAAAATTTGAAATATTAAAAAATTTATTTACACCATTTTAGCAGTTGTCTTGTATACTCGCTTTTATGCATTATATTGAAACCAGAGGCGATCATTCTTTCATCCCATTTATTTTCAATTTTAATCAAGTTTGAAACCAAAGGGATGAACGTATACATCCCTATAAATAAGTATATTAATTATTATTACAATCTCAACTAAAAATTACTCACTTATGTTTGTTGCAAATTGTACACTATGGGAAGGATCTGATTTAAAAATATAATTTTTTAAAGTAAATTTATGTATATTCTCCTCCAATTCCCTATCAAAATGTAGACCCGCAATATTATTTAGATCGAAGCTACCTGCGCTCCCAGGGAAAACAACTTTAGATATTGTCGAATTTTCCATGCCATCAAAAATTGTGTTCAACGAATTTCCATCATCGAGTACTATAGCAGAATCCATCCATGTAAAAGTATCATATTCTGTATATATTTCCTTTTAATTAAATAGTAAATAATTAATTATAAATTATATAAATTATGTAAATACTGCTAAAATATAAAATTTCCATGCATAAACACGCGGAAAACGAAGATCCGCAGGCATAATGCTCCAATTAAATTTTCGCCATTCTAGTCCACAAACTGCATTTAATTCTTCCATCTTTTTTATTTAAAATTATTATAAAAGAAAATTACTGATTACTAAGTAATTAGTTATAAGCTCAATAGATACATAAATATTAATTAATCTTAGCAAAAACAACAATAACTGATTCGAATATAATAAAATTAGAATGATTTAGTGACGTTAGATAACGCCAATTTTGATCCCTTCGACTTAAAACAAAAAGCTCTTTTGAAAGAGACATTATTAGAAATTTTTGTTTTCTTACTTCAAATCTGATCTTACCGCTAAGATTTTCTCATTATCAGAATATTTGTGTTTCATGTAAAAATTAATTTTTTAAATTCTATTCATTTTTAAATCAAAATTAATACCTTGTTTTTATCTTCACTGACACCCCCAAGATCATAACCAATAATTTTTTGAGAACAACCAAATTGTTTTTTCAAATTATATAAAAGTTTTTTCATTGGATTATAGTATGGGATATCCGAGGCAGTAACGAACGTAAAACCTTTACTTCCTGGCCTTTTCAACTTTTAAAATTCTTTAATATTTATGATAATGTTAAATTAATTTTTAATCCATGAACTACTAAAGGGTAAACCCCTGCAAATTTTCTAATTATAACCAAAGTTGAGGTGATTAAATGCTCTATTAAAGGTAAAAGAGCGATCTCCGGCAGGAGTGAAACGTTGCTATAATTTAAAACATTAGTTTTGTAAAAAGTCTGGAGACAATTGAATGGAATGTGACTTTAATAAAATATTGTTTAGGTTAATATTTAGGAGCTTTGGAAACAAACGAGATTCTTTCTCGGGACAAATTATTTACGTCCCATTTGTATAGTATTTAGAAAAGATTCGGGGATTAACAGTGATACTGAGGTATTATAGGTAGATACTTTTGGATTATTTGGGAGGATTAAGAGGAATTTTGGTGGATTAAGGGGAGTATAGATTGATTTGGAATCCAGATGTAGGATTTGGGATAATTAAGAGGGTATCATTGCTACCCTGGTTAACTTATATACATATATTTATTTTGACATAATTTTAAATTTAAACTAACAGGTATTTCTTGTTTAATTTTGTATTTGTCAGTAAGTTTATATTTATCAATTAATTGCAAATGTTTACAATCAAATCTTTCGCCGCTAACCATAGTCTTAGTTAATTTGTCGTTTGTTTGAATAATAAATGAATATGCCATTTCCTCCCCACAACATAGTGTAGGCCATTTTGTATCGTTTCTAGTTTTAAAAATTAATTGATAATATAATAATTAATCTAAATTTAATTGACGCCACATAATTCAAATGCAAAAATATTTCTTTCAGGCTTTTCAATTGGATTGGATCGTTATGGACTGGAATGGATCAAAATGGAAAGGACCCCCTCACTTACCTATTTTACTTTGTTATTCACATTTCTTTTTGTTTTTTTAATTATAAATAATTATAAAAATTTTGCATAACTAACCAATTTAAATTTTGGAAATCAAAAAAAGAGGGTCCATTAAAATAAAATTTAATTATTCCTAAAACCCACCTATTATTATCATTTTCAATACATTCTTTTAATACTTTTCTTTCAAAAGGTAAATTTGAATTAATTAATTTTTTATTAAAAAGAATTTTGTAATTATCATAATTGTTATTTGGCCACATTTGTATCAAAAAATAAACACAAAAAATAAAAGTTAAAGAAATTAAACATAAAAAATATTTTGTTGAAATTAAATTATTATTGTTTGTCCTTCCATTTGTAATAATTTTTCCATTTATTAAATTATTTAGTGGAGGATACATAATTTAAATTTTTATGAAATAAATTCTAGTAAAATATAAATTTTTTATAATAAATTAGAATTATGTATGTATGCAAATATTTAAAAATATAATATGTAGGTATATAATTTTAAAAATATTATTTAATTCCTAGATATGTAAAAAAATAAATATCAAAAATAGAAAAAAAACTAAATTCATTTTTTATAAAATGCAACATTTTGAATTATTAAAGTCAATTGGTAGACACCAGAATTTTAGATTTTTATTATCGCACATAAATAAATTTTTGGATTGTCAGAATTGCTCACGAGTTGTCAATACCCCCCCCCCCTCCGTCTGATGTCAACCTTCAGAAATTTCAAGGGATAGGGTAAGGAGCGGCCCCAGACCCAGTGGGCGTATGTCCCGAACATGAAGAAATGTTTTTGAACCATACCCCTACATGATACACCAAGAAAAATTCAATTATTTTTCGATTCGACTCATAAGGTCAAGTAAAACCATGGATATTTCTTTAAAATTTTTTTCTCTGAAAAATTAAAAAATTGGCTTCGAGATTTAAAATTCTTAAAATTTTTTACTGTGGCGCTTAAAGGCGGAATACTGGCTTATTATCCATCAGAGTGGTGCTGCTTTATTATAATTTTTAATTTATCAGAGCTTACATTTAATTAAAATAATTATTTAAGTTGTTAAACGTTTTTAAAAAATTATTTTAAATTTATTTAAATGAGCAATTCTATTGAAAAATGAAGTCTGTGTAAGCATACATTTTTAAATTTATAAAATCATGAGAAAAATTTTTATTTCAGAAATAATTCTCTAAAAAATATACGAAAGTAAACGATTTAAATTCAAAAATAATTCTTTATAAACAAAATTATTTATCTTGCCGAACTGCGTTCGTCAATTACAAAAAACGTGGAGATATTTATTTAATTAAGAGAGTGATTTTAAATACAGGTACAAATTTGTACACTATTGTGATTACAACAAAAAGAAATAAAACCAATAAAAATCACACACACCCCCCCCCCCCGGGTGCACCCCAACCTACCGCGAGCCCAACCTATCGCCGAGGCTATAACTTCGTTCTAATTGTGGAATCTGAGCCAACTTATATGGTTGGGCTGCGGTATGTTGGCCTGCTCCCCCCCCCCCCCATATTTGAGGCGCAGATTAATTTTCCTTTTTTACTGTAAATCATTCCCCTCAAATATTATAAGTTGAAGGAGTTCAATTAGTTAGGAATTCAATTAGATAGGAGGCATTTAATCCACAATATTCAAAATTTGTTCAAAAAATTTTGGTTGTTAATCATCGTTCGTACCAAATACAAGTATAAATTAGTACGAGCAACACAGCAAAATGAAAGTAAAGAGCAGATTCTCTTTACGGAGAGTTAGACGGCGGTTGGATTTCTTCCTGGAAAAGTTACATTTGTCTAACAAAAATAGAGCAAATAAACCCTTAAAATGAAATTGTTACGAATTTCTCAAACAATTGAAAGCTTTTGATTTTCGAACAAAAAAATATATTGTTGGAAGGTAACTATTTTGTTTGTTTACTTGTTTTTTTCACAAAATAACAAAACACATTTTTGTAAGAATCAAAACTATTTTTTCATCTTTACTTGTCAATAAAAATTGTAAGCTTATTTTTTAAGTAAAAAATATTAGGGAAATTGAAAGATTTTTTTGTAATATTTGTCTCGATGATTTTATTTTAGATATTCAAAAATATTAATCAAAAAGGTTAGGGCTTCTTAATTCGAATTATTAAAAAGTTTAAAATATAAAATATTTTATGTTAAAATTTTAATCAAATATAGTTAAGTTATTGGATTATTAAATGTTTAAGTGTATAAAATCAAAATAAGCTTATATATAATTGAATATTTACTACATAATTATAAAAACAGTAATAATATTTTTCTATATATTTTGAGTTGAATCTTTTCAGACTAGATAATACTTTCTGGCAAACTTTCTGGCAAATTTATTTATTAAATTAATTATTTAAAATCCTAATTTATTTAAAAATCTTTTTATCATATTTCGGATAACTCTTGGTCAGAAAAAATGGAAATAAAGTAAAAAAAGCAAAGAAGCCTTAATTTTATTAAATAAATTTTTAATTTTATGTTAAAATTTGTTTACATATTTTTACAAAAACATAAAAAAGGGCTTTCCCAATTTTTTAAAATTATTTTATATTAAAAATACATATTTTATTTTTTCCAAAAATAAAGGTTGGATTTGAGTTAAAAATTGTGCGGATATAAACGGATACCGATATTTGCGTCACGGATAGATCCGGCACAAATAGAAAAACTTTGTCTATGACCATTTCTAAAAATTGAGTTTTTGATTTATTGTTACTAATAGTCAGACCTGCTGATGGACACGGATTTTAGTATACGTATAATTTTTATCAAAAATTTTTATAAGAAATAGGTTGAAATAATTTTAGAAGATTAGCACAGATATCATATGAATTATTTAGAATATGAAAAAAAGTTAATTATTAATTTTAATTAAAGTTGGTATTTGAAATTTTTGGAAAGAAAGAGGTTTTTTAATTTAAATTCCAGTTACACAATTTATAGTTTATTACATTTGTCTGTTTTACAAACGGAACAACCCCAGTGTTGTATATTATTTTTTTCGCAATAATTAGCATCATTTGTGCATCCTGGAAAGAATTAATTGTGTAAAAAATAATTTTATAGGATTAAATTTAATATAAATTTTTGAGGTTGTCTTAAAAATTTTAAATTTTTGTTTGGTAAAATTAAACAAAGAAAATTTAAGATGTTTTTTAATTATAAAACTTTAACTACCTTGACCCTCAAAACTTTTCATGCAATATTCACCTATACAAGTTATTGTTTTATATGGTTTAAGTGGTCCATTCGGCCATGTAGTTTTAAAGCATTCAAGTGAATTTGATTTACCTTATATTTTTAAATTTAGTAAAATATAAGAAAAAATGTTTCTTAGGGTTGTTTATAGTTTGTGAATAGAGAGTTGGCTGGTATCAAGATCCCAATTGGGATCGAGCGGGATTATCTCGATTTCTTTGAATCCCTATACCTATTATGCTGATCCCGAGCCCTAAAGAATAAATCTCGAGACGGGATCGGTATCGGGATTTGCATACTCTCTAAAGTTTTTCTATCTACCTGAAAAAGTAACAAATATAATAATCAAGGCAACAAAATATAGATTGCAATTTATAGCCATGTTTTATTATTTTTTAAATTTATCTCGAATTAATAGGAGATTTAATTAAATTATAATTAAAATTTCCAAAGGTTCATTCATAAAACTTTAAAACAATTTAGAAATAAAAGAAATTATTAATACATATACTAAATAAATTAATTTAGATTATAAAATAATAATTCAAATAATTTTCCTTTATATGTATCCTCGTTGGAATTTTAATTATAAAGTCACAAATAAAATATAAAAATTAAAATTCAAAGTTTATGTAAAAATTATTAATAAAAAGATTAAAAATTTAAAAATCTCTACTATTTTTCTATAATTTAATTCTAATTTAGTGTTTGACGCAAATAATTTTTAATAATTTTTTTGTTTGTTTGAACAGATTCTAATTTTTCAAACATCGATTTAAAAAATTAAAATAGTTTGGTAAATTTTGAAAGAAAATTAATTTTTATATTTGAATAAAATTTAATAAATTTAATTTTATCACAAGGTTTCTTCAAAAATTCTTCAGATTTAGTTTTATAAAGTCGATAAAATATATACTATATTTAATTCTGAGAAATATTTTATTAAATATTTCCCAATTTAAGACGTTTCCCCGTCGTTATTAAGAATATTTCAGCACGATAAGGTAAAAAATTCAGAATCCGTGGTAACTGGCTCTAAAACTGGCTCTAAAAGTTATGGGTTCCAAAATTCTGTAAATTTTCGCCTGCGGCGCTGAAAAATGAGAAATCTGGCTTCTTAGCGTTCCAAAATTTTCACCTACGGCGCCAATTGGGTAAGTTATGTGATGCAACACCCTCCTATTGATCAAGGTAAGGAGGATTATCAATGTTGATGAATGGATAAGAATTGGATTGTTAATTAAAGTATAAAAAATACATAGAATGGATCGTTTTCCAATTTCTCGCGATAAAATTTCGAAATTTATTACCTTTAATTGGAACCACTGGTTGGAATTAACACCACACGAGTTGTTCTTATTTTAAAATTGAAAAGAATTTAGAAAATAAATTAAAATATTTTTGATTTATGTACTCTCAGATTAGTGTTATGTATTATATGTATAACTTGTTCAATTATTTAATTTATTAAATTAATTTGCAAATTATTTATCGTTAGAATTTATAGTATAGTTAAAATAATTATTATTAATATGTATTCTCAAATATTTATTATTTATTTTTATTTATTTGTTTTTATATTCTTCCTCTTTTTATCACTTCATTCTTTATTCGTTCAAAACTAAAAGAGAATATTTCTAAAAAAAATATTAAAAATTATCTCAAATCCTTCAAAAATTATGTTGACTATTTTGTTATAATTAAATTATTTATTTCTATTTAACCTTATTAAGGGCATGCACAAAATTTGACCGCCGCAAGCAAATCCTTTTGACAATCATCCAAGTTACAACCAACCAAAACAGTAAGAGACAATAAACAGTCCTTATATTTGCAACAAAAGTCGCAAGCTATATCATCACTTCCAGCAACAGCAGTCATGCTTATAAGAAGGAAAATAATTCCGAAAACTAACTTGTTCATTTTTAACTAAAATTTTAAATTAAACCAGGGCTTCGATATCTCCGGATTTTATCTCATTTTGTGGTTATTTGATAGATAGATGTGGATTATTTTTAAAAATGCGGATTGCGGATTTTTGTGGTCTTTTGAAGAGTATTAGGATTTTTTATATTTTCTTATAGTTTTTAGTATAAAATGTCATTAATTTTCCGCTAAGACCTTCTAAAATCCACAAAATTTTCGCCTGCTGCGCTG